ATTAAAGAGGTGGAGTTCAACCTGGAACTTTCTTTTTACATGCTAAATTAACGTTGGACACACCGAGTCCAAAGAGTTGCTCTGGGTTTCATCATACAGGATTATTGCACATATTTCTCCAAGGAAAAGCACAGAAAGCTAAACTAGCACTTGAAATAATAGCAGCATGCCATGCGTTATTGACAACGCAGGTAACAATCACTCTCAGCATGAAGTAAACTATATGAAAAACATTCTAAACATTTTCTAAACTTAAAGCATAGCTGTAAAGGTTTTAACAGCTTACAGCCATACTTTTCCCTTTTTCCAGACAACCAAATCTATATTTTTAACTTCTAAAATACAGTTTTTCTTTTGCATGCACAAAAAATGATCCCTTTACAGAAATCTGTCTTGAGAGTGCATTCAGCATTTACACATTGTGAAAAGTGCCGGCAGCTTGAGTAATAGCTAAGCACATCTTTCTTACGACACAGAAGAGCCGTTATAAAAGCTACTTGATAGGTATGGTAATTGCTGCCAGCCCAAAGACTTGCCTTGATTCTTTAGGAGGTGCAGCGATAAATAAGCCTCTTTTAATGAGAGTCTACCTCACGCTGAGCTTATACACGCAACACAACTCATCCCCTGCAGGGATTACACCTCGTGCAGTTCTTCAGTTAAACACAACGCCGATCACCTCCAGATGTGTCAGTCTGGAAGTGTGAGTGACAGGTTGACAGGACACACTGGGATTGATTACCTGAGCCTGATCTGATTGCCACAACACACGAGACCCAAACAACCCCAGGGGTATCCAGATGTGAGTGTGTGTGTGTTTGTCTTCATTTATTTGGATTTCATATCTGAATTTGTTTCTTTTCCAAACAACAGTTTGTCTGTTAGCAAAACTTTATTATGACTTTCTCTTTTTTTAAGTCGTATCTTTATTCTCAATGTAACCTGTCATGAGCATCTGTTTGTCTAATCCTCAATTCATCCTAAACCTTGGGAAGAGCACATATTAACTATTTGAATGAGGTGAATTATGTTGATTAAAACTGACAAGAATCTATTAAATAAGAATGAGTTTCAGAAGGTTAACAAATACCATTTTACAGGCAACAGAGACGGAGGAATGAGCTTGCACATAAAACAGATCCGCAAGACTTCCACGATGACTGACAGCTACAAACCAAAGATTGCACCGACCGCGGAAACATGTGTGCTGTGAAAAACCAACTCGCGTCAATATGCTCACTTTCTAGATTGTCTATTGCTTCAGACGTTTCCTCTGCTGCTGCCATTTACAACTCAGATAATCACAGATGCCCCCGGGCAGACGGGGATGAAGAGGAGACAAAAGAGTACCCGACGAGATGGAGGGCACTTCATCCGGAAACAAAGTGAGCAGGATAACACAGCAAGTGTCACTTACTAAAAGACAAACAGTGCGAAAGGCGGAGACAGACAGAAGTTAAAAAAAAAAGTGTGAGGGGGGGGAAGGTCCTCGGGCGTCGTCTGAGTGATGGTTTCTGTCTCATCCTTTAACCCGATGGGGTATCAATCAAATTCTCCTCATTCTTGACCGCGCGTTAGCTTAGCAAGCAGGAACCTTGTTTCCCTCGCTCAATTAAATGCCCACCCGCACATAATTAACCACTGTTTTGTCCGCAGATCAATGAAGGGCCTGTTCATTAAAAGTCCCTTTGCTGTCTCAAAGATCCCCTCGCAGAGTTCAGTGCTGCGTCTGAGGAGGTGGCGCAGTCTGGCAGAATTCCCCCTCCGGTTTCATGTCTGTGGCTTTTTCTCTTCCTCTTTTTATTGCAGCCGGTGGAAGATAGGAGGCGAGCCGGAGAGGGACTGAAAGCATGCCGAATGTAAGGAGACCTTTTTCAAACAGAGAGAACTTAGGACTTATGGGAGCTTATTAGTTGGCGTGTAAGAGTCACAGTAGCTCGGCTATTTAGCTTTAAGAGGCACGTGATTACAGTCTAGTTAAAGAGAGGAAACAACTTGCACTGCAAGCCGAGCGAAAAAGAAGTATTGAAAGATCAACAGCCAGGCCATATCCTAATTATCTAGTTATACCATGTATGTGTATGGGGAAGGGAAAACAGCAATACTTTAAAGGCAAACTTCTTCATATCTGTGCTGTACACACACAGCGCTTCAGTCAGTACTAATCAGCTCCACAGTCTTCAACCACCATCAGCGTTTACAGATGCAAAAACGAAATCCCTGTCTGTTACTCCCTAAAAGATAAAAGATCAATGAACGCAACAGGAGCTGGATTCAACATGGAGCCCGCCCGAGTGCCGGCCAGCTGTCACAGCTAACACGCTGAATGATTGGACCAGCGGTTGCTTCAATCTCGAGGATACGCATGCAAACACACACACACACACACACAGAGTGGCTGATGTGCACAATGATGTTGCCCTCTCACCTCCCATCTGCCATGAAATCACAGCATCTCTGGAGATGGATAACAGGGTTTTGGCGAGCAGCAGCGTCATACTGGGCTGTGTTTTTATTGCGTTCATGGGATTAGCCACCCGCAGCAGCATCTTTGGATTACAGTACAAACTGATCTATCTTCTTCACACTGTTGTAGCCAGAGAAAAAGGGTTTCGACAGTGATATCAACTGCAGTAACAATGTTACTTCTACAGTTCATCTGTGTGGCTATTTCTTTGTAACTTAATTTGTATTTAATTTCAAGCTCACGAAGACAGTGGACAGTCATCCTGCACAAAGGACAGATGGCACAAGGTATTTACTGTATATGCCGTTTCCATAGATGGGTTTTTTCTTCAATGTGGACTTTGTATTAATAGTTTTTTACTTTAAAATTGCACATCTTCTCATCAGTGCCAACGACTCCCCAGTGCCGACCGAGCTAGTTTTCTGTTGAAAAATAAATACTTGAAAAGTAATACCGTCTTGTCGTATTTTATGCAACATCTTTTTTAGCTATTTGTCGATTGTGACACTTTTGTAAAGCTGATGATACAAGTTTGGCTGTAAATTCAACCAAATGTGATTCAAATCTGCTATCTAGTTTTCTGAGATATAACGCACAAACAATGAGCAGACAAATAACTCATCCCATACATTTCTTGGCAGAGTTAATGGAAAAAGACGCTGGCAACCGTTCTCATGAGACCTTCTGTTCCTTAAATATTTCCTTCATCTGTTTGTATGCGCCGATCCAATTTTTTAGAGCCAATTTAGACTCATTCCACCCTTGGTCAGCCTTGCTGTGTATGGATTCCATTGTGTAACATCTGGCGGTCTCAAGGCGGTGTGCATCCCTCTGCGCACTCCCCTGCTCATAAACTGGTGTAAAATTGCCCCTTTGAATCGTCTCCACGGCGGATTCCTCATTTAGTGATGCAGCTGTTCACACTGTGTACAATCTTTCTTTATTTTGTGTAATATGCTAAACACAGCCACATAAGTTCTTCCTGTCCGTTTCCTTTGACTGATGAATGTGGCAGAACAGCTCCGTAATCCCCGGCTCCCAACACCATGATGCGTGCCAGTCACCGGGATTAGGAGCCATATGGAGCCATGTGAGTACACACAAGCGTGAGCAAATGAACTCGGAAAGTCTAGTTACAGATACAGTGTAAACACTGAGTGGGAGAAACCAATATAGATTGGCACACTGTAAATGTTTACAGAACTTTTTTAAGCTTTCACATTACACATTTTACCATGAGAATTTGAGATTTGGAAAAGCCTCTAAAAAACCTCCAACATGTAGACTTAAGGTCATATTTTCATTTGAAGAAGTTAATCCAAATCTTTATTTTTTTTTTAAACCTCTGGGGCTGAAGCAACATACTCTAAAGAGCATGACCCATCAAGCCACTGCTCTGTTGTAAAGCTATTCCTATAAGCTAAATGTATCTTTATTGCAATGGTAAAAATCAGATTATAGTAAAAAAGGTCTACAGTACAACTACAGTACAACAACCACATATGAAAGAACAGTGAGGTTGGGAGACAACAGCAATGGTCAGGCCTTTGTCGATGCATAATTGATGCAGTTTGCAGATTGCACTGAACAAACGGAATAAAAATAGCCTAAAAGAGAGAATAAAGTACAGCAGCATCCATGGCCACATGGTACGATCCACTGCTGACCGTTATCCAGCCTGTGATCCACATTATAAAGGGAGCTGTTGTTGGTGTCATTTTCCTAGCTTTAGTTTGTGTCTGTATGTGTGTGTGTGTGTGTGTGTGTGTGTGTTTGTTAAAAAGTTATAAATTGAACAATTAAATGATCTGTTCATTATTTATTGTGCAAGTTGCCCATAACCTTGCTGTATCTACAAGACTCCTGCAGGACGTCCGCTGGCTATTTCTGATTCCACACAAACACACACACAGACACACACACGCACACACGCATATACATGCAATGGCAGATGGTGTAAACAAATAACACGTATAATCTTGAAGATCGGATCCTTCAGTTAGATATTAACCTGGATTGACAAAGACCTGACACAGGACTAGACGTATTAGGAGAAGGAGCGCCCTGTGAGGGATCTGAAATGACTGACTCTGCAGTTTTGGGGTATGGGAGTATTCCACATACTGCAGTCAAACACTAATGAGGACAAATACTGAGTGAATCACAGATGGAATGGAAACATTGCGTGTGTCCCTATCTCCCTTTCTATTTAATAGATTCGGCTTTAACTGATTCATTTTATTAGTGTAATCGCCCACATGTAACATAACTGTTGTGTTGTGCACATTTCTCGTGAATTTAATGGATTGATTGATGATAATGGATCCCATTCATGCATTTATTCAGAAATATACAGTATGCAGTTGTGATGTTTTTCTCAAAGTTGATTATGTAGTTCATCATCTGTGATGCATAGGAGTCATTTTTATTATTGGGGCTAACTTCCTCAGCCAAAGCACGTAAGTGTGCTAGATGTAAGTTAAGCAGACATTATTACCTCGAAAACCACAACATATGCAAATAAAAGACTCACCATCCGTTAGCCAGATGACCTTGTTGGCACTCTGTGCCACTGATGGCTTTCAGGTCCTTCGGGTTGTCTTTAAGCCATCGCACATTAGTCTCTCTTCAGCTCTGTGGCTCCGCTCCAACCTCTGAAAAATAAAACAGACCCTGGAGTCAACTTCCAGTTGCAATAAATACATTTCATTAGGTAAATACATTAGGTGACAGTTGGGTAGTTAGAAAACAGGGATGGAGAGATAGAAGGAGTAGGCAATTTGCTAATGGAACATTGAGAAAAATGGTGTGGACCTATCTCAGGAAATGATAACAGACGAGGCCAAAGAAAAATAACCCCAGTCTGTCTGGAGAGAGCGAGAGTGAGCTATAAGGGCAGGAGGTAAAGTGGTTTTAAAAAACACCATCATTAACTGTCAACTTCATCTCAGGTGTAAGGCTTTAGCGCGAGGGTTGGGGGAGGGAAGGAGGCACTATATTTTCCCCTGAGATCATTCAATAGCCTGCAATCTTCATTTAATTACCTGCTTTACATCTCCAAACCAACTCCTCCCCAACTCCCCTCCTACTCCCTCACAGCGAGTATAACATGCAGTGGTCCACGGAGACTGCAGCGAAGCCATTTAGCTTTGTTAATTAAAGTCCAACTTGAGTCTAATCACCCAAACTATGTCATGACGATGGCATTACAAAACAGCTTTCTACTGAAACCCAGTTGCCATGTAACTGTGTGTCCAGATTACAAGCTAGGAGCTCCGTCAGCAAGATGAAGCTCCAGGATTTAGGCGTCTTAACTCGCTGGAACACGTTTTACAATCTCTCTTGACCGCCTCCGTGGAGGTCTTTTGAACCGGGTGGATGTTTGGCTCGCTGAAATGGGAGCTGTTGCAAACCCTCACGATGTCTTAAGGCATCGCACATCCATTCTGCATCTCTCAACCCCTACACACAGCAGACAGTGCTCCCAGGTGGCGTGAGCATATTCGGATATTACAAACACATTCATTAGCTCGGCTGTTTTTGGTTAGCCGGTTTCAAAAACTACATCCCAATTTTTATGAAAGTGGGTGGAAGGATGTAACATTGGGAAAGGAAGAACCCATTACATTTTTACAGCAGATTCAAATCAAGTGGTGCACACACACATTGTTTTTTACTTATGAACACGGCCTTGGCGGAGTTCTGAGTATCCTTCTGGTGTTACACGATTCATTACAGTTTAGAGAAGCTGTGAAAGAATTTGTCAAAATGTATTTTAATCAAGGTAAACAGCAATGCAATCACAAGAGGCTGATACACTTTGTTATTGAACAGTAGAAACCACTGCAGCACAAACTAACCCGGCAACAACATTCTGAATGAAATTCCATTTCCGTGAGGCTGTGTCGGAGATATGATGATACTCTGCTCTTTGACGGTGCGTTGTTTGTAATGTTGTTTAATCAGATTATATTCTTCTGCGGGATCACGTTATAATATGCAAACAAGCTGTAGAGACTCACTGCATGTAACACAATGCTGTGACCCAGTCACACTGCTGCTTACTACCGTCATTAAAGACTACTGTAGGCAATACGACACGCCTGGTTAGTCGTCTTTCTAATAGTCTGTCATGTAATCTGAGAACACAGGTGATTTAGATCGAGATGATAAGTGGCCATGATCAATAAAAAACAACAGGCAACGACGGATCACATTTAACCCCATTTAATCAACTGAGTGGACACACTTATGAAAACACAAGAACAAAGCATAGGATAATAAAAGGTAAGGAAATGGAAAGATACTGAAACCTTTAATACCTGTTTCCAGGCAATATATGTATATATAATAAATATATATGTAATATTTTTATAATTAAAAAAGATTTTTCTTATTTTCTTCCATTCTCACCCTGTTAAACACACATTTGTGATGCAACACAAAAAAAATATATATATATATATATATATATATATGAAAAGGTAAACGCAAGCAGGGCCTACATACAGTGTGGTGGTTTAACATTTAAGTAAGATGAAAAGTCCAATCGTGTGTAAAAGTAAACAAAAGGCATCTTCTGCAGCTTTTTGCTGAATGGAAGCACGGGGCCTTGAGGGGGAACTGAAGCTCTGAACTTAACTTTAATTAAACATCAATATGTTGCAGTGCCGATCCCTCACTGTGCCAGAAATGGTTCCAATGTTCGTTTGTTTTTTTGTACATGTTTTACTCCCACTCAATCTTACATTCTTATTTCATTGTTTTTTTCCCTGTTTCTGTGATACTGGAGTATCTTTCATGATCTAGTCTCATTTTAAGGTATAATTGACCTTTTTCAACAGCAATTTGCAATAGTTTTGTCTGCAATTTCAAAGAAATGATACAGCGGTCACTACGTCAATGTGAAAAATGTCTGTTATTCATCATCAGTTTTTATTCACACCTTTTTAAGTAGGACAATTCAGGGCTTATTGACTTACATTTATTTCTCAGAGGCGTAAGCTTACATTATATTTAACCCCAGTCTTTACCCTGAAGTATGATGATATCCTTAATAAAAGCATTCTACAATATTCATCTGTCTATCCGTTTTGGCGCCGGATGGAAAGCGAGTATACCTACAATGTGGGTGCATCGGTCACCCAAAGGGAATAATCCAACTACACAAGCTCACACACACACATATTCAGACGGTAACGGCTTTTCTACTTGCTTTCTCGCTGCTGATCATTAGTCCAGCTGAACAGATGTGCCCTTTGGGGTCAAGTCAGGTGACAGAACACCGTCCGGACTATAATTGAGCCTTTTGTAGCTGGATCCCACGAAGAACGACTTGTGCTTTGTGATGGTAATTTGGTAAGATGATAAGTTCTGTTGTTGTGCAAAAATACTGTATGAAATAGTACGTGTCTTTTTAGTCAGATCTTTTTTTTCTGCTGGCCTTCCTTAAGTAAAAAAAAAGAAAGTCCACCAAAACATGTAATTTTTTAGGAAACTGTTTTGAATGTAGTTGTGCGCAGAAATTACCTTCAGTTTTCCAAGTAGGATATTTTTACCTTTGTTGTTCAGTATAAAAAGCATTTTAAATGACTCCAGATGAATGCAATGAAAACAACTCTGCCAGATCATTGATGATATGATGATTTATGGTTTAACACCATCTTTAAAACCAGGCTACCAAGGGGGTCAAACACAAATAAACTGATCTTCCAGAGCATACGTCTTTATCCCTCCCCTTAGGTCTTTATTTTTCGTTGAATTAATCATTTAAGCCCCCCCCCCAGAGACCGCGTGACGTGGTCTTCTGTGAAGCAACCAGCACAGATCCCATGCAGCGTCTCCACCTCCCAGTACTTTCAGCAGCACACACTGTGGCTCCAAGGCAGTTTTGCAGAGTCTATTTATACAGAGTCCTAAAACAAGGTATTCATGACCCCCCCCCCCTCCCTCCCCCCCGCCAACTCCCGTCAGCAGCTTTAGACGACAATGCTCACAAGCCACCATAAGGTTGTTCAATATAATCTTTTAATCGCTCCGCCGGCAACTGCATGTCTCCGGATGAGGTGGGGGGGGGGAAGCCAGCGGGGTTGGGGGGGGGGGGA